GAATGCCAAAAGTTGTGATTATCAATTTTAAAGGTTGGATTGAATGTCGGTGACATTGTTGTATATTACTAAAAGTGATTATAGCTATTAATAGTGATTAAAGAATCTGTAAATATTTTTACTTTAGAGTTATTGGGGAAGGCAACTATAGCTGCAATAACGGCAATTAATTCTGTTAATGATGCACTAAGTGAAGAATCCTTAATCGTAGCATAAAAGGACAATGGAAGCATATTTGAATTTATAAAGATCTAGGCTATTTCCATTCTGGTTAAAGGTAATTCTAAATTAAATGCAAAACTATCAGTATAAAATTGGAGTTTCGAGAAGTTAGTAAGATGATAAGCAAAATCAGATAATAAAATCATAAAAGAAGAATCAAAAATATTATGAGAATTTAAAAATGTTTAATCAGATTTTTAGATCTTTAGGGAAATTATTAAATTTAGCAAGAGAAGATCAAATAACATAAAAGGAGAAAGACTACATCTATAATCCTGATAGTGAATTGGATTAACATTAATATGAGCGTACTTAGATTTTTCATAAAAAAATAAACAACAGTTCTTCATTTTTTTGTTTTCTTATTTTAGAGTGATAAAGGCATCTGGGTTATATAATGCACATCCTATGCAAGGAACTAATTTGGTAGTAAAATCAATATTTAATGATGATTCTAGATGTATAAACCATTTAGGGGTACAAATGGGTATGCGTCAATTTTCGTACACTTTAGTATCGGCATAGATGTATAAGGCAAGACCATTAGAGGAGATAAGTTGATTGCAATACATCAAATTTATAGCTCGAAGGATTTTGATGATTTTTCTATAATTATATTATGTAAATTTGATATGAATTGATATAGATCTACCAATAACATTATTTTGACTTATCATGTTAGCTTTGAAATTGATATTTCATTTATTCAAAGTCAAAAGAAAGGTAGCTATCTACTCTTTGAATAGTGTGAAGTCATTATGTGACTAAGAATTTAAAGGTGACATTGAAAGTCAGTCTGAAATTTGGAGTTGAAGGATTCTAATATTACTAGTGATCCCAATCAATCCTTTATCATTTGAGATATTGTAAAGAGCTATGGTCTTTTCTTGAATTTGACTATTGAAAAAATGTGTTAAATTATATATTAAAGGTATATAGAATGTAATAATAGGCGTATTTTTGGATAAAGAAAGTTTTGATTTGAGAAGTTTATGAAAGAATCCCATAATTTTGTTGCAGAATTTATGTCCTAAAAAGGTGAGCTGTGTTTTATACATAATTCTTGGTAAAATCACAATATTAAAAATATAGGTGATTTGTTTATCTGTTAAAATTTTTGACTTTATCACATAAGAGGCTGCGTGAACATCTTGTTGAACTTGTTATTAGATAAATTGTTTATTATGTGACATTGAAATCCATATTTCAAGATATTTTATAGATGTATTATATTTAGCTGGAATAAGATCAAGAGAGAAAGTAGTGAGTTGAAACTGTATAGCATTCTGATTAAAGATAATGTAGCAATTGATTTCAAATTTACAAATTGTTGCAATATAAGCTAAAATTAGTTGCAACATATGTTGTAACATTATAAGTTGCAATATATATAGGTTAAAACTAATTGTAACATAAGTTGCAACATTAAAAGTTGCAATATATTCATTACAGTACTCATCTTTAATTCTGATTGTTGAAAGGGAATAGAAGTGTCGATTTGGTCTAATTGATTTGGATAGAATTTAATTGGTAAAAACTGTTTGCGATTGCAATCAAATTATTTAAAGAATCTTTAGATTGTGATAACCAAAGGGTATCATCCATATATGCTAAAGCTGGAACGTAAACTGAACTATGGTGATGAGTAACGAAATTACCTTTCTTAATATGATAAAATTGACGAAACTGAAATAACGAAACTAATTTTTTATTAATAACGAAATTATTTTACTTAATTGCTGAATTATATTTAACTTAATCTAAATTCCTTAAATTAAAATATATTAAAAAATATAATAATTTTATATTTATTCATATAAAAATATTAAAGAGACGAAACTTTAATGAAATTACAATTTTTCAAAAAAGAGTTTAGTCAGGTATCACTAGTGATGAGGTATCTCTTTTTCGTGTTTAAAGGATGAATTTATTTTGATGTTATAACCAAGAGAAGTATCTTGCACTCAGCATAAAAGAGGGTCAAAATATATGTATCATAATATAGGAGATAAAATTTCACCTTGGTCGATGCCAAAAAGAATTGGGAATGAAGGAGTAGCACCATACGCTGTTAAAAAATTGATTAAACTGAAATATGAATAATGAGAAAATCAACTCAATAAAGTTGTTGGTAGATGTAGTCTAAGAAAAGCCTTATATAACATTCCAAGGTTGATACTGTCATAAGTTTTTGATATATCTTGAAATAATATTTATGTAAAAATGTGCATTCTTCTTAATATGATCTAAAATAAAGATGGGATCTTTTGTAGATCTATGTGAAAGTCCTGCAAAATTATATCCTTTAAGTACGTTGTGTTTGGATAATGTGTTTAATAACTGATTATTTATGAGTTTGACGAGAGCTTTCTGCAAACATTCTAAGAGTATAATAGGTCTTATATTATTTAGGTCATACACCCATAGTTTTGGTTTAGGTACTGGATATACAAAAGCGACATTCTAGATATCAGGTAGAATAGACTTGCCAAGACAACCACAAATGAAGATCAAAAATTCATTTTGTTTGAACATCTAGGTGTTTAAGCATTTTGTTAGAAATCTTGGAAGGTTCAGAAGCTCTATTAGAAGGAAGTGCATTCACAACATCATCCAATACTTCTTCAGTTAGAACAACCATAAGATTATTATATATTATAAGGTCTATATGTAGGGTTCTGCAATTTGATTTGATTCGATCAAATTCAAATCAAAGAATGATTTATTTGATCAAATCCAAATTAATGTTTGATTCAATTCGATCAAGTATTCAAATGTTTGATTTGATTTGAATCAATAGTAAAGCAATTTCTAAAGCTTTAGGAATGATTCATACTAAGAAAACTATAGTAAAAAGTGTCTCCGCAACTTCAGAAATGCCTTTTTTACTAAGAAAACTATAGCAAAAGCACCTCTGCAGCTTCGGTAATGCCTTTTTTACTAAGAAAACCATAGTAAAAAGCACTTCTACGGCTTCGGAAATGCCTTTTTACTAAGAAAAACATAGTAAAAAATGCCTTTGCGATTTCGGAGATGTTATTTTACTAAAAAAACATAGTAAAAATGCTATTTTACTAAGAAACCTAGTAAAAAAACGTGTCTGCAGCTTTGGAAACGTTTTTTTACTTATAAAATTATTATGAAGCCAAGATGGTGGTTATTACTAAGTTTTCTTAGTAAACCGAAACTGCGATGATGATTATTATTAAGTTTTCTTAGTAAAACCAAAACTGCAGAGTTATTTTACTAAGTTTAATAGTAAAAATTTACCTGTTACTAAACTTACTTTGTAAAAGCTATCTTTGAAATTTTTTAGTGCAATTACTAATAATTTTCTTAATTAAAACTTTAGAATAACTTTATTTAAATATATCATTGTAAAAATTAAAAAAAAAATTTATATTCAATTTGATTCGATTTGATTCAGTCAAATATTTGATTTGATTTTTCAAATCAAATCAAATTCAAATTGCTTAAATATTTAATTTGATTCGATTTTGAAGAAAGGAATTCTATCTATATATTCCTTAGGTTGATACCATGAAAACCATTCGTCAGAAACAAATTTGAAGTGGTGAACAGTACTTATTACTCTTTGGAAATATTTTTGTGCTTCATTAATGACGTCATTTGGATTTATAAGTAAACTATTATTGTTACCAGATCCATTCATGCATTGATCTAACCAAATTGTATTTCTATATCAGTTAATAAGAGAATCTATCATATTAGATTGATTATCTTTGTAATTCTGGTATCTTTTCTCTAACGTTATTTTAATGAAAGCTAATTTGTATTCTTATTCTATAAGTTTTGTTTTTGTAATATACGCATGATAAAGCTGTTTGATGAAAGGCACATTAATAAGGACTTTGGTTATTAGATTTATGTGCTTTAAAAATGAAATTTGCAATTTCTAGACGATTAGAGAAATTTTAAACAGATAGTTGTTCCATTTCTCAATAAAGATTTTTGTTTTAATAATATTTGAGGTGATTCTTGACTATTTTTGAATACTTTTTAGAATACTTTAAGATTTTTTCAAGAGTTTGGAACGGATGTCTTTATCATGGATGCTAGATTGTTTACTAGGTATTGTAATGGGGGTTCTCAACTTCACTCAAATCCGTTTTCTCATGCAAGTTAAAAACTGGTTTTTGCAGATCTTCACCTATTTTAGGTCATGTATTCACTTTTGTGTTCACCCGTACGAAATAGTAAGTCAGGTACTCTTTAACCATAAGTGAACTAAATTGATTGGTTAATATATTTGTGCAACATTCGCGAATTTTTTTTAAAAAAAAAAGTATCAGGACATTCTATTTTTTTTTTTAACAATGAGAGAACAGCAATATTTAGTTCTTTTATTTAATATGTTTGTTATTTTAAATATTATAAATAATGAAATTGATAAAGAGAAAGAAGATGATATGAATATTTTGTTATTTTATTATTCAAATTTTTTTTTTAATTTACTTATTTCTAAAAATCCAAGGCCAAAGACATTGGATAGATATTTTTCCAAATTTAACTGATAATTCAAACACCAAAAATAATTTTAAAGCACACTTTAGAATTACCTGATCAACTTTTAATTTGCTTTTATCTTATTTACAAAACCATTTTCCTATAATAACAATAGAAATATTAATATAGAAATTCAAGTTGTAATTGCTGTTTGATGACTTGCAAATAATATACCATATAGAATTTTTGAACAAACTTTAGAAATTAGTTAAGGATCTGTAACTAATTATACAGATAGGTTTTTAAAAGCAATGTTGGATCAATTTTCTAATATAATTAGTTGGCCTAATAAAAGTCAAATTGATGAAATTTTTTATGGATTTGAATCTATTTCTTCATTTAACTCTTCTTTAAAAAAAGTAATTAGAGCTGTTGATGGTTTTCATATTTGTATTTTACCTACAATAAAAAATTTTGAAAGATATATTAATCGTAAAGGCTATCATTCAATTAATTTAATAGGAGTTATTGATTATACAGAAAAATTTACTTATATTTATATAGGTAAACCAGGTAGTGTTTATGATGCTCGTGTATTTCAAAGATCTTCTTTATTTCATGAAATTCAAACAAATAAACAAAGGTATTTATAATATTTATATTTTTATTAATAATTATTTTATAAATATTATTAAAACAATATTTTTTTTTTAGATTTTTTCCTAATAATACTTATATTATTAGAGATTCAGCATTTATGTTAAGGTCTTGGCTAATGACACTAATTAAACAATATAATAATCGAATACAAGAAGAGAGAAATTATAATAAAATTTATTCTTCAACTCGTGTTGTTGTTAAATAAGCATTTGGTAGATTAAAATCTAGGTGGAGGATTTTAACTGAACAATGAATTTTTGTAGAAGTTTAAATAGGATTATATTAATCATTTATGTTTCATATATTCTTCACAATATTTATATAAATAATTTAGATACTTTGAATGATATAGTTACAAATTTAGGTGGTGATGATAATTATTTTAATGCATACGAATTAAATGATAGACAAATAGAAAATCTTAGAAAACAAAGAAGATTAGAAATAATTCAAGAATTGAGATAAAAAAAATTTAATAAAATTTAATAAAATTTATTTTATTTGCTAATTATTATTATTGAATATATCTTACCCATATACAGTCGTCCTCCTATATAGTCACCTCTTATATAGTCACACCTTCTCTTTAATCACATTGATCTACAGTCCCA